GGGGGGGGGGGGGGGTGTCCCCGCTGCGCCTGTGCGGAGGGCGCCGTGCATTCTGGGGCCTGTAGTTCCGCGTTCGGCGCCCACCTTGCCACGGTCCCGGGTGTCCACGTGGGGCCAGCGTCTCTGCACTTCAGCGTTCTAGGGAGGGAAAGGTTTTCCTGTTTTACAAATAGCAAAGTGGAACCGAGAATAGAACAGCAAATAAGGAGCATCCATTGCCTTTTTTTTTTTCTTTTTAATGAAATACAGGGCATGTACAATATCATGTCAGTTTCAGGTGTACTGGGCTTCCCTGGTGGCTCAGAGGGTAAAGAATCTGCCTGCAATGCACGAGACCTGGGTTCAGTCTCTGGGTTGGGAAAATTCCTTGGAGAAGGGAATGGCTACCCACTCCAGTATTCTTGCCTGGAGAATTCCATGGACAGAGGTGCCTGGCGGGCTGCAGTCGACAGGGCCGCAAGGAGTCGGACAGGACTAAGGGACTAATACTTCAGGTGTTTTACATGATGATTTGACATTTGCATGCATTATTAAAAGATCACCACCATAAATCTAGTAACCAACTGTCCCCACACAAAGCTATTACAATGTTACTGAGCATATCCCTTATGTTGCAAAGAGTGAAACAGGACTGAGCAACTGAACAACTGACATATAACTGGAGATTTGTGCCTCTTAATTCCCTTCACCTCTTTTGCCCTCTGCCTCCCACCCTCCTTCTTTCTGGCAACCACCTGTTTGTATCTTAAGAGAATGTGAGGCATTGCTGCTGAATTCCCAGGAGGAAGACATTCCTGCAAGAACATGGCTCATAAAGCTGCAGATGATTAACACTGAGGGCCAGGGTTAAGCTTGGGGTGAGAGTGTCGGGCAGATTTTGCACCAGGTGTAGCATACATCCCAGAAATGTGATGCTTGCTTTTCAACAAACCTAGTAGGTAACCAGAAGCCAATAAAATGATAGTGGCATCATGATTACGGGTTCCAGTTTGACCAGGATCACTTTCTTGTGTGGCTTAGACTCCAGCCTCATGTCCCTTCTAGCGCTGAAGACCAAGAGCCATCAGCTGTGGCTGGCCAGCAGCATCCTACAGGGTGGCAGCGTATTAGCATCAGTTGGCTTTTGAAAAGGGGTCATGACATTCTGCAGCCTTTATCCTTTGGAAAACAGTGGTGACTTCAGTTAGGTTTTATCATCAATTACCAAGTAAGGCAGTGTGTTGGGTGGGAGGGTCTTTGGATCAAAGAGATATGAGTATCTATTAGAACTCCAAATACCAGTTATATATCCTTAGGGAGAAAGTACATACCCTCTCTAAGTCAGTTTTCTCATCTCCAATAGAGAAATAAAACCACTTGAGAGATAGCAAACTTACAGATCTATTTGCTAAATTATCAACAATCAAGTAACATCTAAATTTCTATATAGTATATTATGTCCTCTTCATTTACTACAAATAAGATTAGCATGAGTGCAATAGAGAAAAACGCTATTCCTACAGCAGAATTACTAGTCTGACAAATGAAAGAACTTTTTTTGCAATGGGATATTTTGCATAGGTTGATTATAGTTGCAAGATGTACTACATATGGCTCTAAATATCTTGCTGACCAGCTGAACAAAAGATGGTTTGAGGCATGTCTTGGCTGAATGAACATGAAATCTTTAATTAAATTGTGAATTTAGCCTCAGCTTATTAGGTCAGTAGGTCTAGCCAATTAATAAGTTAAGGCATTATTTGCTTTTAACCAACTGAGTTATGCCTATAATGTTAATATAATTTTTCTACAAACTAAAGTTATTTCCATTTTGAGAACTTTTTTAAAAACTAAGTCACAGCATGTTTTTATATGTATAAATAATAGTGAGGCAGTGAGGACACTGGGTGACTTTTATTAATAGTAGCACCGTCTCCCATAATGTCTAGAGGGTCCAGTATAGTAGTCATCAGCGGCACATGGCCATTGAAATTAAAATTTAAAATTTAATTCCTCAGGACTTCCCTGGTGGTCCAGTGGTTAAGAATTTGTACTTCCACTGCAGGAGGCATGAGTTTGATACCTGGTCAGGGAACTAAGATCCCTGCAAGCCACCTGGTGCAGCCTAAAAATTAAAAAATAATTTAAAAACATTGGGGCTTGCCTGGTGGCTCTGTGGCAAAGGATCTGCCTGCCAATGCAGGAGTCACAGGTTCGATCCCTGATCTGGGAAGATCCCTGATACTGCAGAACAACTAAGCCCTCTTGCCATAATTATTGAGCCTGTGCTCCGGAGCCCGGGAGCTGCAACTACTGAGCCCATGTGTCACAACTACTGAAACCTGAGGCCCGGAGAGTCCGAGCTGCGCCACCGCAATGAGAAGTCTGTACCGCGCATCGCGCAACAAAGGGGAGTTACCCGCTTCCCAGCAACAGAGCAAAGACCATGCAGCATCAACGACCCAAAACAGCCAAAAATAAATAAATCTTTAAAAAAATAAAAATAAAAATACTGTCCTCCAATTAAATATTTTAAAAGTTAAAAGCAATAAAGTTTAGTTCCTCCACCACCCTAGCCACATTTAAGGGCTTCATAGCCCCATGTGACTACGGGGTTGCTGTGTTGAACAGCACAGAATTAGAAGATTCCTATCATCTCAGAAAGGTCTAGTATACAGCACGTGTCCTCCAGAACTCTGGTAGACAGCTCCAATATCATGTCAGCCTCTGCCTTCAATGCTGAGATATTTCAGTTCTGTCCTGCTTCTCCTCAACAGACAGCCTACCCAGCTAGACTGTGGTGTAATAATATGTTATTAACTGATGGTTTCTTCACAAGTTTCTGTTCTCCTATGAGGTTTTCCTCCATTCAAGAAGCAGCCAGGGCTTTTTCTGCTTCCTACCCCAGGGAGGGGATGACAGGGCAGAAAAAAGAGAAAGGAGTGTCAAATCTTTTCATCTCTCAAAGCAGACTTCAGAAACACATGTGAGAGAATAGAGGTTTTTTTTTTTTTCTTTTTAAAAAAAAGGGGGTTTGGAGTTTGAAGATTATGGGCTTTGGAATGTTTATGTCTATGCCATAAATAGCAGCGTTTGAAGAGTATCCTACCCCATATATTCTAGATAAAGAACCCCCAAGCTGTGGGATACTGATGATGATGACAGGGGAGTGGGAAAGGAGACAGGGAGAGGAAAAGTAGATGATGAATGTGCTAATTTTATTATTGTTCAAAAATTTCACTGCCTATCTCCATAGGAAGGGATTTTACTTCCTCTTCTCTTTGAGGTCAAGATCAATCACGTGATTTTTTTCCTGGGACATAGAATATGCACAGAGGTGGTTTATGTTACATCAAAGTAGAAGCTCTAAGAATCATTTTGTAATCCACCCCCTTCTTTCTTCACACTGCCATGAGACCAGCAATGAGCAGTTGGGGGCTGCTGTGGACCAGAGTCATGGTGATCCACTTGGAGTGAAAAAACAATACCTTTGTTGTTGTAAGTCAGAGGTTAGTGGGCTGTTTGTTACTGCAGCGTCACTGAGTCTAAACTGACTACTACAGAAGGAATCTCTAAGAAAGCGACTTGTCCTGTGCCCTTCCCAGGGTCACAATTTAAGTAGAGTCCAGGCAGGTTGGAGACAGGTAGATTATATAGCTACGAGTCATATAGCAAAGGTCACAGATGCCCTCCACGTGGAAGACCTGGAGTGTTTTCACAGTGCCACGTGCAGTGAATGTGGGTGCTAGGAGGGCCTACAAAGGTACCAAAAGAGCTTGACATGATGCTGTTGGCAACAAAGATAAGGAGAAGGCAGCAATGGCTGAGGTGTGGAATGAAGAAGCCCCAAATTACCTGAAATTTGATTTCTACCACCTGAAGAATGGACTGAACGTTTCAATTAAGTGCATTTGAAGAAGAAGATAACAATGGGGAGGAGGAGAGAGGAAGGAGAGAGCAAGGCAGGGGAGGGGAAGGAGGAGGAAGGTGAGGGAGGAGGGAAGAAAGGAAGAGAAGGTGGACAAGGAGAAGGAAGGGGAAGAGAAAGAAAGAACATTCCACTTCTTATATCCCTGACTTTGATCTATGGAAGGGTTACACTTCCTGCTCCTGTGGACCTTAAATGTGACCACATGACTTGCTTTGACCAACAAAAATAGGGGCTTCTTCCTTGCTTCAATAATGTTGTAGTATTATTTGTCTGAGATCCCTTTCCTCTGAAATCTGATATTCCACTTGGAAGTCCCTGAATTAGTTTTAACATCTTCATTCTGTGCCCCAACATTGGCTGGAGCTGCTCTGTCCAACTCAGAAGTCACACAAGACATATTTTTATTTAAATTTAAATTAAATTCAATAAAATTAGAAATTTAGTTCCTCAGTGACACTAGCCACATTTCAAATACCCCCAAACCACATGTAGCTAGTGCCTGCCATATTAGATAGTGTAAAACAGAACACCTACATCATCACTGACAGTTCCACTGGACAGTACTGGTCGAGAACAGAATTCAAAATACAGGGCAAAAATACCATATGATATCACTTATATGTGGAATCTAAAGTATGAGACAAATGAACTTATCTACAAAACAGAAACAGAGAACAAACTAGTGGTTACCAAAGAGGAAAGGGGGTGTGAGGGAGGGATAAATCAGGAGTTTGGGATTAGCAGATATACACAACTATCTATAAAATAGAGAATCAACTCCTATATAGCACAGGGAACTATATTCAATATTCTGTAATAACCTGTAACAGAAAAGAAACTGAAAAAATAAGTATGTGTATATGTGTGTGTGTATGTGTTTGTATATGTGTGTGTGTGTGTCTGTGTGTGTGTACATATATACGAACTTCCCAGGTGTCACAGCGGTAAAGAGTCCGCCTGCCAATTCAGGAAATTCAAGAGACATAGGTTCAATCCCTGGGTTGGGAAGATCCCCTGGAGGCAACCCTCTCCAATAATCTTGCCTGGAAAATTCCATGAACAGAGGAACCTGGCAGGCTACAGTCCATGGAGTCGCAAAGAGTCAGACACTACTGAGCGCACACACACATACATACACACATACATATATGTATATACGTATATAACTGAACCGCTTTGCTCTGCACCTGAAACTAACACAACATTGTTAATCAGTTGTGGTTCAATT